GTCATGAAGAGTAGATTCAGGCACTGCAAAAACTTTGGCAGCTTGTGATTTTGATTTAAATTGACCTTTTTCATAGGCTGAAATAGCCATCTGGATTTGATTTTCTTTTGAAAGTGGCATTTTTTATGGTAAATGACGTGTTGAAAGAAGGGAGTGGTAGAATGGAAGGAAAACACGCGGCTTGGTGGTATCCGCGGCTCGGTGATTGATTACGTTAATTAGTTAGATCAATTTATATAGTTCTATGTTATCCTGTTTAGGTAATATATCACTATAACTATGAATATAAAAGCTGCCAGTAATCAGTATGAAATGCAATTTTACTGCCTTTGGGTAGTTCTGCCAGTCACCATGTTGTCCCTATCAAAACAGGGCTCCACCACAAAGCAGGCACAATTCTCACCGAGGCGTTGGATATATAGGATTTTCTCTCCCGTCGAAGTATATCCAGGTTGAGTAATTCGTTGTCATACGCGGAGCAAGGGCGATGACCTTTTTCCCTCCCTCAATGTGTTGATTTTGCGCATCCTAATGGTTCCAAGTAAACGAACTGTTTGAATTGATGGTGCTTGCAGGGATTTGGTTAGCTGCGTTTGGGAGGCGTTGATTGCAAGTGCTTTCTTGAGCAGGTTCTGTGGGCAGCGTGGCCCATTCCCTTGGGTAATGATAAATGTCACAAAACATTTAACAAGCCTGGCATGAGAATATTCAGCAGCAGCTCAGGATTTGTAAAAAGTGGTCATCATTTCCCCATAAATTTATGATATCAGATCCTTCCCAGGTCTGTGGCAAGCTTGTGTTCCTTATTCTGGCGATGGATTGAATTGTTGGTCACTCTCAGGCTATGGGTTGCATTCTTAGCTTGTGGACTAGCCTTCCTGTCTTCTGAAGCATCGGGGTTGAAGTCCATGTAGTGATCCTGCTGTAAAGTTTTGCAAAGTGTCTTCAGATGCTGCATTGCTTCACTGTGTGCTGTGTGGTGGTACTTCTTCAACTTCCCACCTACATGCTGTGAAACTCTTTTGCCTCCCCTGAAAAAGAAAGCACAAAACACTATCTTTTCCTTCAGCAGCATGATGTGCAACCTTTTCTAGCCTGGAATATAGTCAGCCAAAACCATCCAAGCTAATTATATATATATATATATATATATATATATATATTTTTTTTTTTTTTTCTTTTTTTTTTGTGACTAGCAAAGCAAGAAATTCTTTTTTCCTGGCGAATTTTTGGTATTTCAATCTGGTTTTCTATTTTCTTGATCCCAAGAGAACATATTAATTAAGCATTATTTGGCCCTCGCGAGAATCGACACGCCATATTAATCACATCTATCTATCTCTAACCTTGCACCGAATCGAATACCATGATCCCAATCAATCCTTGTTCTGAGCCCGCTTGCTCATCCGGCGAATAACATGGCCATATCGGTAGAGAAGGAAAGGCACAGGAGCCATCACAGCAGCAATGCAAGCCAGAATAGTCAGCGCGTAGTGAGGCCCCAGATTACGATACATCGGAATCGCACCAACGGCCATCGCCCCCGAGGCCATGTAACGTCCGAAAGTCATGAAACTGAGGGCAGATGCGGCATATGTTTGGTACACGAAGATTATATAGAGGTAAATGCTGGTGAAGACGGTGATGAGACCGTAACCGAAGAATGCGGATCCGATGATGGGGGACCAGATGCTGATGTCGGGCTGTGTTGCTTTGTTAGCAATGGTAAAACATTTCGAGGATGGAGTGAACTTACATAACAAGTCCAACCCATCCAGAAGAGCGAGACTGGAAGGAAGATTGAACCACCCATCATGGAATAGTAAAGACACACTTCCGGTTTCAAGGACTTGCCCTCTGCCGTTGCCTTTTGATATTCTTTCTTCGTCCAGGAGTATAGCAGAGGGACTAGGAAAAGAGCGAAAAGATCACCGACGATCTGCGCCACCCATAGTATGTTGGTCAGTCCCTGGGATATTCCGTACACTTCCTGGAAGATAAAGGGATATCCACTCATGAAAGTGAACAGAACGATATAGATGATGATTAAATAAAAGGTGAACAACATGATGATCGGCTCGGTGTACGTGAAGAGGAATGGTCGATAAATGCTGGTTCGAAGACGGGTCCATAGAGATGAGCTTTCTGTCGCCTCCGCCTCGGTCTTGAATCGATTGTCTCCCGTGATTTTGCGGAAATGCTCGGCCTTCCAACTGAGTAGTAAGGGCTCATAAGTCTCAGGCTGGAAGAGAAAAACCAACCCCATGATCAGCCCGGCGTAGATCAGCATGATCCAATCAGCCCATCGCCAGTTGATGACCGAACTCTCGCCCATATAGGCCGAAATCACGGGTCCAAGCATTGGTCCGGCATATGCAATGATCATCATGACCGGCAAGCTGAATGTTGCTTCCAGAGGTGTCCAAATATCGGCAATTGATCCTCCAGCGCAGGTCAGGGGTGTTGAGCCGAAGAAAGCCGCGAGAAAACGAAAGGCAATGGCAGTGCCAAAGTTGGGTGCCAAGGCTTTGGCCATGATGAAGATCATAAAGATAGCTCCCGATACAACGTACACGATATTGCGACCAAAGGTTTCAGAGAACGAGCCCGCCACGAGCGATCCAACGGCGAAACCGAAAAGATAGCAACCTGAGCATCGTCAGAAAGTCCAAATGATAAAACGGATTGGAAAGGAAAGGTAAGCATACCAGTCGTCAGAGTACCGACTTCATCTTTAACATGGAAAGCTTCAGTAGATTGGGGTTCAACAGCGGCGTCGATGGAAGAAGCAGCCGCACCCATCATGGAAATCAAACATAACATCGTAGTTGCAACCCATCGACGAGTGGGAGTCCAGTTCTGAGGTCTCACCGGGTCGATATCGCCATCCCAGCCCACAATGAAAACGTGCTCCTTCTGGCCATCGCTTCCGACAACGTTTCGAACTTGCACACCCGGGATCTGTGAGGGTGAAGGTGAGGTCGAGGACAGCTTCTCCTCCTCATCCACGGGGGTGGATAAATCGGTATCAATCGACTTTTCGAGACTTGCAAGGTCGGTATTGAGACAAATGTCGCGAACCTGCGCCTTGATCTTTTGATATTGCCGGATCGACTGCATGGTCTATCGCTTGTCGTCTGGTGGACGTTTGTAAAGTACTGACTGACAATAGATGCATGGTCGATTCGGGGCCTTATATAGCGAGATCATTTTGAACATCGACATGTTGACTCTGAGTACAACAATGAGAAAGAGTGAGGAAGAGTTGACTCCGGTGCTTGACTCCAGGGCGATTAGTCAGTCATTATAGAGTGCTCATTGGCTGAAATCGTACACAATGGCTGACTCCGGGCTGACTCCGGTCCCGCGATACTATGGGCTCTTGTGGCTTGATTTCCTAACGCTTCTTCGCATTTTCCATGGACTGCTTCTATATATTCATAATCAATGTCTGAAAGCCGTTGAGAACCCGGTCTGGGGACTCTTCCTCCATTACGCCTTGATGGCTGCACCATGCTTCGTTTTTCTTATCCTGTATCAAAGGGGCTGTCTATCCCTCCAATTGAATCTACAAGCCTTCTTATCGGGCTCAGAATTAGCAACTTGCTGGTCAAGAATTACCATCCAATCTGTATCCTATTTGTACTGCATGCTTGGTGCTTGTGTATGAATCTGCTAACTACGGGGTATGTACCGCTAGCTATATGTCCGGCCAGCTCCGATACCGAAGCCAGCCAGCAAACACGATACACACCCTGAATCTAATCATAATTTATTTAGGAGATGTGCATGGTAATACATGGATGTAGGGACTTGTACTTGTAGGTATCAGAGCCGCATCACGCTGTACGCATGCCCGTAATACGTATTCGGAAAATGCACCAAGATAGCAACGGCCAAGTCGCTTTACTTTCCATTATTGTACCCAATTGCTTGTCCATCGCGATCCATCTTTTTCTTTTTCCTCTTGTTTATTGCCGGCCATTTTTTGGATAGCTTACTGGGCTGTGATCGTGACTCATGCATGGTACTTTGTGCAGCCGCTTCAACTCCCCTGGGACATCCCGAGCCCAGGCACCTCTGAGACGCCTAATACTATGTACGGAGCTTTGATACGGTCATCCCGGATTTTGCTGGACCCGAGCCATAAGCAAACGGGAGACGTGCAGCCGGACAAAGAACGTCTTAGTAATCGATCTTAGTGGCATAGTTAACTAACTAACTAGTTAGTTAACTAACTAAAAGGCGATAATCGCGCCAAATCAAAGGAGTGGAGATCGGGTGCGGCAATTCCAAGTGTCATAATCCCGGGGGTGTCAAGTGCATTTTTCGTTGAATTCCCTTGTCAAATCCTAAATCTCCTTCTCCACGGCACGTTGTATATTTGTGATATAGGCATATCGAAAAGAAGAGACATGGCGAAAGAACGGCGCAAGTGGACCCAAAAGGAGGACGATATTCTGAAAATTGCCGTGGGGAAAGGTCAGTGGTATCCTCGATGGCCCGCACGCCACATCGATGGGCTTCGCTAATTGAACTAGATGTCGAGCGGATCGACTGGCTGTCCATCGCAGAGCACCTTCCCGGTCGCAACAATAAGGAATGCCGCAAGCACTGGCATCAAAAATTCGCAACCAACACCAACTATGGCAGCTGGACTGATAAGGAGGACGAACGCCTTCACATGGCAATCGGTCAACATGGGACCAAGTGGGCACTGGTGGCTCAAGCTGTCGGCACTAGAAGCAGCGAGCAGTGCTCTAAGCGATGGAACGATGTGCTCAACCCAGATCTCAATCGAAGCCCGTGGACTGATGAAGATGTTTGTATCCCCTTATCCCCGAAGCATGATAGCTTTCTATCAGAATCTCAAGGTCTGATTCAGATCAGGATAATCTATTGGAGTCAAGCGTGGACACCCACGGACGGAACTGGAAATCGATAGCACAGCTCCACTTCCAGGATCGGTCAGCATTGTCCTTGAAAAATCGACATGCGCTGCTGCTTCGTCGACAATCTCGAGGAAACCAAAACCAGAGAGATATACTCCCAAGTCTCGAATCAGATGGGTCGGGACCTCAACAGGGAGCCTTGACCACGCCTGGCGATAGCCCTCATTCCAGCCAGAGTGCTGCTGACGAGTTCGAAAGCACGCCCAACAACGAGAATGATATTCAGAATTCTTCGCCGCACGGTCATGATAATGGCGCCTCAATGCCAGTGGTGACTTCCTCCGGCGGTTTTGGAGGAGACAGTTTTATGCCCTTTGGACAGAATAGCAATATTGCTCTGGACATGTCCACGTACGACAATAACCTTCTAACGGGTGATATGTCACGAATAATCCAAGACTCGTCGTTTTCACCTGGGCAAATCCAACAGAGCCACCATCAACAACATTCGTACCCTGATATGTCCTCGTTCAACCCCCTTCCAGCCGGTATTGACTTCTCCGTCCCTCCCACGCCTCCTTCAATAGTACCAAATTCGAAGGGGTCTTCCGAGGAGACGGAATGGGAAGAATTTCTCTGCTTGGGTATCAGCTGTCCTCGAAAGGGGTTGGAAGCCTTCAAAATGGCTGTTCTCGAAGCCGTCACGAAGGGGCCCAGCTGTCAGGCTAGTGACGATGATGACAAGGTCCAGATAATGTTGAAGGTCCGGAGGAAGCCTCAGCTTGTTTTTGAGCCACGCAAGACTTGAGATATCTTTTCAGACCGTTTGGTCCACCCTCCATCCGTTCATCTTTCATTATATCCCTCTGGGCTACGATCATGCCCTCCTACGATTGGGCGTTAATCTTTAAATGGATTTGACTTTCATGTTCATAACGTTGTATGCATCTACTGATCGCGGGACTATAATAAATCTTCCTCATCAGGCTTCCATGTAATTATCACTTGCACATCGCAGCTCCTATAATCAATAGACTTCTGCAGTTTCCCCAGTCAAATCTCGAGTACTCACTGCGTCCACCAAGGCCGAATTGAACAGAGCCGGGTGTCTATGGAGATGGCAGTTGTTTACAAGGATATTCCCGGCTCGTTAATGACGATGCGCAATTGTGCATGGACTGTTTGAGGCTGAGAAGATCGTCCGGACACATTGGTTGAATTCGGAGACAGGGTCGCGGCCAAACAATTCAAGGATATACGCGGCGATTTTGCGGTTCTGGACTTTGTAGCGAGAATCGATGTTGTAGATCTCGTCAGCGCCTTTGTGCAGGATGGTTTCCAGGGCGTCGGCTGCGTCTCCTACGTAGAGGAAGCGGCGGGCGTGGGTGCCGTCTCCTTAGAGGGTGAGTTAGCTACCCTCTAACATTAGGGTAGAGAATCGAGGGATTAACTCTGTTGGATTTGTTAGCGGACCGCTTGAAAATGACTTGTTGCTTGAAGTACTTACTCTCAGGGTACTGGCAAGGCCCGTAAACATTGTTGCTGCGAACGATGATCACTGGGATTCCGAAGCTGTGCTTGTACGCCATGACATATATCTCAGCAGCAGCTTTGCTTGCCGAGTAAGGATTCGTGGGTGCCAACAGCGTACTATCCTCTTTGGCCATGGTGCCGTTGGTCTCACCGTAGACCTCATCGGTGTAAATGTGAATAAAGCGCTTGATGTTGCCATAGTTCTTGACCGCATCCAGGAGCACATGGGTGCCCACAACGTTGTTCTCTCGGTAAAAGTGAAGGGGTCTTCGAATGAGTTCTGCACATGGCTATTGGCCGCAAAGTGCATGACACAGTCTACCTGGTAGGCTTCCAGGGCAAAAGAGACGGTCTTGGGATCGGTGATGGAGCCGTGGATGAATCTGAAACTTGGGAATTGGAACAGCTCGAGGATATTGTTGATGAAGGAGACATTTTCCATCTTGTCGAGGCAGATGATGTTGTAGCTGTCGTGGTGTTGATGGACTAGATGACGGGTCATCCAGCTTCCACTGTGTCACGATTTGCTATTAGCCAGGTGATTACACAATCATATCAAGACGAAGCTTGGTCTTACATGAAGCCTACATCGCCAGTGACAAGAATGGTCTTCACGTAGAGAAGTAGTTTGAATCTTCCGACACCTGTCAGTGGGACATTCGTGGGAGAATCTTCTTCTCTTTCACTCTCGGGAGATTGACAGTGTTTGTATCGAAGATTTATTTACTGCCCAAATCATTGTCAGGCGGCTTGGCCTTGGGCAGTTTCTGAGCAGTGTGCTTTCGTGCCACATTAGATAGGGTGATTTGCACGGAATTCCGATATCCCTAGGAAGAGAATCCGCGTACAAGCTGCCCGGAGAGGCAAACTCCTCGGAGTCGTGGCTGGCTTCGGCGCGCTGTCCATAAGTATTTAATGCCATCGATGCACCCAGAGAGAGCTAGTACATTGTCCTATCAAGCTTCGACCATGGAGAGCCTGAACATTTTACTCCGTGACAGTCTATTCGGTCGGTTGCTCAACTATGCGTCGAAGGGCCGATTTTTCTCTTACAATGGATCTAAAACCCTTAAAGATGAAGACCTCCCAAGCCCAGACCCCCAGCGGCGGATCATAGTAGGCTTCGATGGCCCTGATGATCCAGACATCCCTCAAAATTGGCCCACGCTGGCAAGGACGGTCGCTGGGCTCAATGTAATGGTCTTGAACTTCAGCTTCTATGCAGCATCAGCAATCTTTACGCCGAGTATTTCGGGTATCGAAGAAGCATTTGGAGCTACCACTTCTGAGGGCACACTGGGGCTTTCGCTCTTTGTTATTGCGTACGGAATTGGGCCTCTAATTGTATGTCTGCGCTTCCAGAAGACCATCGGTATAAGGATTATACTAACCATGCATATTCCCAGCTTTCTCCTCTGTCGAGCCTGCCGACACTCGGGCGTTCGCCGGTATATGTCCTTGGCTGCCTTACTTTCTGCTTGCTCAACATCGGAACGGCTCTGGCAAAAAATCTACAAACTGTTTTAGTACTGCGCTTTTGGGGGGGGGGGGCTTCATCGGAAGCGCACCTATCAGCGTCGGTGGCGCCTCGCTGATGGAAATTTACAGGCCAACTGAGGTTCCCTACGCAATTGCATTGTACGCAGTCAGCGGAGTTTGTGGGCCTATTCTGGGACCGGTATGTCAATCTACATGCATCTAGACATCCATGGCTTTTACTAATTTTGACAAAAACAGATTCTTGGAACCATTGTAATGTTCGTCATCCAGTCTTGCGAATTGCTGAATGTTACCTGACACTAATAATCACCGTACAGAAAACGTTGGAAAACCTGGACAGCAACGCTCTGGCTTCTTTCCGGCATCATGGCTTTCACGACCGTATCTATTTTCTTCTTTTTACCTGAGACGTCACCCTCGAATATCCTTCTTCGTCGAGCAAAGCGCCTTCGCGCGCAGACGGGCAATCCTGCCTACCAGAGTGAAGCTGAGATCGAACCACCAAGCGAAAATCTCGCTGTACGCATTGTCAAGGACATGGGCAGCAATCTCAAACTTTCCTGTCTGGACCCAGTCATTCTATTTGTTAACATGCACACAATGCTAGTTTACAGTGTCCTATACCTTTGGTTTGAGTTCTTCCCATTCGGTAAGTTAAGCTCTCCTCGATGCATTTTGCCCACGTTATACTGACCGAGTGATTCTATAGTCTTTGACGGCATTTATCATTTCACCGCAATCCAGCAAGGCCATGAGCTTCCCTCTGTTGACTTTGCACAAAAGACTGCGCTGACAATGATTCTTTCCAGTTGCCTTCTTCGGTATCCTCGCTGGAGCAGCGGTTTCGGTCGTTGCATACATTCTGTGGTTATACTTTTCTTACCAGCCACGAGTGGCAAATGCAAATGTCATTATCGAGCCAGAGGCTCGCCTGGTTCCTGGACAAATAGGAGCTGCTTGCATTCCAATTTGTCTTTTCATCTTTGCATGGACATCCCGAGCAAGGTAAGCTAGCCACTGATTCAATTGATTTTAGCAGGAAGAAGTTAACCTCCTGCACACAGCGTACACTGGATTGTCCCGATCATCGGAACAGCATTCTTTGCACCGGGCTTCTACCTCGCCTTTCAATCCATCCTTAATTACCTAGGCGAATCCTATCCGCGCTATGTGGCAAGCGTATTTGCCGGTAACAACTTCTTCCGAAGCTCATTTGGAGGAGCACTGCCGCTGGCTGCACCACGCATGTTGAATTCACTTGGAATTGGATGGGTCTCGAGCACGCTGGGGTTCATCTCTGTTGCCATGGTACCCTTACCTTTTATTTTGCAACGATTGAGTTTGCCGCCAGGACTGCGTTCCGTTGGGTTAAACTAGATATAGAATTATTTGCTAACTTGTATAATATAGTACGGCAAGAGACTGCGTTCTTGGAGTCCATTTGCGAACTAACCAACACATTTCAAGGCCTGTCCCTATATTGGCTATATTGGCTTCGCACTAGATGCCATGGGTTCAACTGCGCTTTGTTGAATACCACTTCAACATGTGGAAAATTAAAAGGTTGGCACGGCCTGTCGGGAAGATGATCTCGGCGGTTGATGCCTCTCCCTTCGAGACTCTTGAAGCCGTCCGCGTTCACTGGTCTCCGCTAGATTCAATATTCCATCAAGACTTCATTCCTTTCTTTTTTCTTTCTGTACAGTAGCTTTGATAGATTTATAGATTACTTGTTTATCCCACTGCCAGCTCCAGTGATAGTTACTAGTACTGGTACATCATGCTCCAGCTCGGCATTATTATTATTATTATTATTATTATTATTCATACACACATCTGTCAGCCCTATAGGCCGAGTAGCGGCAGGTCCTGCAGGGCAGCCGGGGAAGCCGCCGTAATGGTAGTCGCTATGTACATCGTCGCCTTTATACACATATCCTGATATCTCATTCCGCGTGTTGTATATCCCGTGCTGCTGGTTTTCGTGCCGCTGTTCCCATGGCCACGAGGATCCATGGGCTTGTTGGATACTATCTCGTTTCCTTCCCTACTTCTGCAAGCGTGTAACCTTGGCTGCGTTATGCTGCCAGTTTCCCCAAGTCTATTGTTGTGACTCAGTATGTGGTTGGTAGAGTTTGAAACTGGCCTAGGAGGCCTGTCTCAAGCATGAAGTGCACTGCTTTTGGTACCAGGTCTGGGCTCCAGCTCGGCATATCTTCAATCTAATGTCTAGTAGGTAGCATTTTTTACGTTAAAATCGTACAGCACTTTGAAGAGCTGTCAACAACGCTACGAACCTCAAAAGAGCAGAGGAGGCTTTATGTGCAGGATCAATCTACGAAAGACTTTGGTTTAGTCCGCACAAATTCCAGGCTCGCTAGTCTTGTAATCCGGATCCTCCTCGATGCTTACACCGGCCTCCTCCAGTAAATGAGGGAACCATCTTAGCATTCGGTCGCGAAAGACTTCGTATCCGGCTCCCTTCCGCAGCACTTTCATGCTCTCTGCATCGAAATTCACGCCACCGCGCCTGTACGCCTGCCATTTCTGTAGACCGTAATCCACAACCAAGTCTACCGCGTCAATCACTCTTGGCTCAATATCTTCAATCCGGAATCTCTGCCCCTTGCCGGTCAGATTGGCCGAAGTCCCGAATGTTAACATGCCCTCGGGGTCCTCATCGCAAAGGCGACCGAGTTCCCGCAGAAATGGCCCTTCGGGAACTGCGATGCTGACCGTATCGCCCTTGGTGACCTGGGATAGCGTAGCGGGGTCGAGAGCTGCCAACCGCGGGTGAAGACTTTCGGTATCGTATTTGGCAATGATCCCGACAATCATCTCCATATCTTCTGTCAGGACCCGTGTCATCTCAATCTTGGCCTCGGAGAGCACATGGATCTCTCGGTGTTGTTTGTATGTCCCGATGATGCCGATGTTGTGGCCCTCCCGACGGTCTTTGGCTGAGAAAATCCGCTGGATTCCCGCCTGCGTGCTGGTTAAGAGTGCGTAGCCGACATCGATTGGGATGATGACAACTCCACCACGTTTAAGAGTGTTATAGGTCTCTTTAGCGCTGCGAGGGAAGTTGGGAGCAGTGCCTGGCTTGGGTATGAAACGGGGAGCCATTGAAGGTTGATGAAGATTATTGATTACATGCTAGTCAAAGTAGGAATATATGTAGTCAAGCGAATGCGACCACGTCGTGATGACATCGAAATTGCTAGTCAGCAAAGCCTCTCCTTGGAGACTTCGCACGGGTATCTTTCGAATGAGCCAAAGCAGCTGCTGAAGTTCGACTCGAGAACCAAGAAAAGACAGAAGGTCTTCTCGGTTCCTCTTTATACCGTCGTGTCCGCGAGATGATGATCATTTAGCAAAATAGATCATGGCGCCCAGTCCTGGTATTTAGTGGTGAAAGGATTTCTTTGCCCTACCATACGTACTCTGATGTCCCGTGGAATAACACCTTCGTTTGGCCCGTCCAATGATCCTTTCTTCTGATTTGTATTATGTAGAATTAGGTGAGTGAACTGATACTTTACTGCACCGATCAAATATAAAATGTGTGAAGAGGGGTTGCAATGTTCATCTGTCAATCAGCTGAGTGATACAAAAACTGTGGAAGATCAAAAGCTATGAGACACAGGGGCGGTCTTTCGTACCGTATCCGTTGAGTGGGTGGGTATGGGCCTACCCATGGGCCTGCCGAGGTCTACCCGCGGGTCCAAGATGCAAATGATTCTCCCTGCCAGAAGGCGATAGAGTGGTTTTATGTTCCTCCGTTTCATTAAGTTACTCTTGTGTGGAATCCTTTATCCAACGGCGGCCATCTATTGAAATGATCCAGGGGAATAATTGATTAATGACTATATTGATGTCTATTGAAGTCTATTTATTTTCGATGCATTGGTATTTACTTCAATTAAGCCTGATCTTTCGGCCAGGTCAATGATACTCCTCGTCGTGCATGTCAAATCAAACAGTGAAAAGAGAGTTGATTGAAGTATAGGCGTGCAAGTCAAAATGTTGAAATACAGAGGAAGAAAACGGAAGAAAATCATTATCTTGCATATCTGCCACCATTCTCCGTCAAGATCATGTTGCATAGCACATGGTAATAATTGTAGCGACCACTTCAAATAACTAACTGTTGCTATCAGAAGTGCAGCTGCACGATCTTGACTGCGTGTGTAAATCTGAGGCTATTCCAGCTTAATATGACCAATTCCACCATAGACGCCAAAGTGTTTATTTGAAAGATACCTGCACACCTCACAAAGTTGCCTGGATATCGTTTTGTATGTCTTTGGCATAGGTGTCAACGGTTTTGAGTGAGAAGCAGTCGCAACGACGAAATCGGCCTAGATGACCATTTGAGTCAAAATTAAGTAGGAAACAGAGGCGGCGTATAGAGCCATTGTACAGCTTGGCCAGTTTTGAAGAATGAAGCATGGGTAGTAAAACGGCTTGCTCTAAAAAAAGGTGATTGATCAAAGAAAGTTATTTATGGAAAAGGTATGAGGGCAAGGGAAGAGCTGGACGGGCAAGACGAGGACCGAGAAGCCGTGTTAAGGTACGCATCCACGGTTGTCAGTAACACTATTTCGAGATATCTATTAACACCTCACTATTATGTAGGGAATTGGACAGCGTCAAACCAACCCACGTTATCAACACCGCTGATGCTCGCGGCTCTCCAAATGCCGACTGGTGTGAAAATCACAAGGACCAAACTATCCGTTCCAACATTATCGGAGTAGCCAACTTGGTCGACTGCTGCTTCCTTCGCGGTATACATATCACGCATTTCGCTTCTGCGTGTATTTACGATCAGGACGATGCGCACCCGCTAGACGGATCGGGGTTTACCGAGGAGGAACCTCCGAACTACTGGGGATCGTTCTATTCTCAGTCGAAGCTGATCTCCGAGAATGTGAGACACCTTTGAGACTTGGGTAAATGGGCAGATTGTATTGACCATCTCGTACATGACAGGTGCTCAAGACGTACCCTAATGTCCTCATTCTTCGGATTCGGGACCCTCTTGCTGCAGACCTGCATCCCATGAACTTTGTCACCAAGCTTCTGAGCTACAAGAAAATCGTCAACGTTCCCAACGTGAGTTGTCTCGTTATTCTTCCTACAAGCTACTAACAAAATTGCAGTCAGGCTCGATTATGACAAATCTAGTCCCCGGGGTCATCCTCCTTGCCAAACACAAGGAAATCGGCATTTATAACTTTGTAAGAATGCATTCTCTCGAACGAAGAGACAAGCTGCATGAATACAGACTTACAACCTTATACAGACCAACCCCGGAACTTTTACCCACAATGAGGTGATGGGCCTGATGAAGGAGTACATCCGGCCTTCTTTGACCTGGGTCAATTTTTCTCTTGAGGAACAGCATGCGATCTTGAAGGCCCCTCGGTGTAATGCAAAGCTGGATGCCACTAAGCTGATCAATAAACTTGGGGAGTATGGATACACTGTGTTAAATGCTCAGAATGCTCTCGTTGAGGCTTTTGTTGAGATGAAGGCGAAGGGATTGCAGTAGATCTCGGGTAGATTCTTTCTTATTCTTTTTTTTTTTTTTTTTTTTTTTTTTTTTTTTT